CAGATTCAGTTGCAACTCATAACAACCCTGAATAGAGTTTCTTAAGAGCGACTGGTGAGTTTGAACTTCCGACCTTGTGGTTCAAACTGGCCTTGTAGTCGAGTACTTATCCTACAGTGCCACACCAGGACTCCATATATATGTGGCACCGTAGGATATGTACTGGACCACAAGATTAATTTGAACCACAAGTTAGTGGTGAAAATCCACTAGCTGTTCCTCAGAACCTTATATAGTGTCTATCTGAGTTGAAACAAACTCAAAGGGACTTAACAACAGTAACTATATATATATTCTTTATTTTTGTGGCATGTTTTTCAAAAGTGGAAATGGATGTATTGTTTCATTGTAATATAGGCATGCTCACTGTAGAATCCTTCAGACAATACAGAAATCTATAGAAAAATGTACCACTGAGATAGCAACTGTTAGTGTTTTGATATAAAACCTTTCCAGATTTTTCGATGGCTTTAGAAACATGTAGCTATTTCTATGTTGTTTTTTCCTAAATAGGATCACACTATACACATTGTTTTGTAATATGCCTCTTTACATAATTTCCATATGAATAGATATATTTTTTCATCCTACTTTTTAATTACTTCTCAGCATTCCATTGTATAAATATGCTATTGGTGTGAACTATTGATTTATTTCCAATTTTTTTTTTTAATAGAAAGGATGTCCTTATACTACATACATTTTTGTATACTTGTCTAATTGCTTCCATTTTATGAATACTTAAAGTACAGTTGTTGTGTATAAGAATATTATTTATACAAACTTTGTAAACCATTGCAAAATTGCTCCCCACAAAGTTGCACCAATTTACCTTGCCACCAGTATTGCATAAGATTGTCCATGTCTCCACACCTTGGAAAATCATAGGAGTTCAAAAAAGAAGTGGTTGTATTTCTGATCTCTGAGTTTGGGGTCACAAAAAACTTCCTGTGGAGGACCCGGCTGTGTCTCTTGTTGCTGAGCAAGGTTATCTTCACTTACTCAGTCCATTCGTTTGTTTGCCAGATGGTGTAACTCAGCTTTCCTTTTGCAGCTTGTGGCCATATTTTAAACCCTGCTCCTGTGCTTTTGTCCCTTAGATTGAGGAAGACACGTGGCAGAAATACTACTTGGAAGGAGTCTCAAATGAAATGTACACAGAATATCTCTCCAGTGCCTTTGTGGGCCTGTCCTTTCCTACTGTTTGTGAGTAAGTGTCCATTAACTGTTAACTCTTTGCCTCTCAGTGGTGCTTAAACTGTCCCTGGCAGGAAAACCACTCATGTCTCCCTGGCACCCTTGGGACCCTTGACAGTTACCGAGGGTGCTCCATGTCCTCAACATTGACTTATGAACAGGAAGGTTGGTCATGACATGGGCCCTGCCTGGGGGTTTCAGCTGACCCCACTTCCTCCTCTAGTCCTGAGATCTCGGACATCATATATATTGACTAATGAATTAACACAATTATTCTACATGCTAATATCTTGAATTAAGTACCTATGATACAGATACATTTAGGAAGGAAGATACATCTCTCTGATTGTACTAGGGCAAAACAAATCTTGCCAGTTTCTTGATGAAAGATATTTTACTCTCTTAATTCCAATTAAGGCAGATCACAAAGGGACATCAGAAAAGCCACTGCAATAAACTCATTCAAAGTATAAAAAGTTGAATTGACTAAAGTTGTGTGACACATTTATAATAACAACAGAGTCGCTGCTAAGGTTGCTCATGTACAACTCAACACCTCATGGGATTTGGTTGCTTGGTTTGGAGGTTGAGGGTCATGGTTTCTTCCATAGAATATCCCAGTTAATTGGCCTAATGACATATCTAATGCTTCTGTTGTGTCTCTTAGTTCAGTGTGTAGTGTCTGGGGTCTTAAAGGCTTGCAGGTGGTCATCCAAACTACAACAATGGGTCTCTATTTACCTAGGAAGAAGGTATGTCATGAATAGGAGGAGGAAATTAATGTGTTGCCCATTGCTTCCATGAACAACTTCCTCCTTGGCCATGAGACCAAAAGTACTGGTTGGTGCCAGGTTACCATTACTGAGTAGTTTGATCATTGACTCCAGCTTTTCTGGAGCAATGGAAACTGAGGTAACTTTTTAATTTATACCCATAATATCCCTGAAGTCATCTCAAACCAAACTGTAGTTTAGTTTAACTAGTAAGTATGTCTACCTTGGACATTTTGCTCTATTAAGATTGATTTTTATGGGATCAAAAGTCCTGGTGTGGTGCTGTAGAATAACCACTGGACTACTAACCAAAAATCCAGCTGTTCAAATCCAACATCCGCTCTTCAGAAACACTATACAGGGTCACTATGAATAGTAATGGACTCAAGGGCACTTAAGAGCAACCATGAGATCATAAAGGAAGAAAGCAAAAGGTCATTCAAAAGACATGAAAGAAAAAAAAAGACCAAGATGGATGTCAGAAGAGACTCTGGGATTTGCTTTCCAGTATAGAGATGCTAAAGCAAATGGAACAGAAGTGCAGTGAAGATCTCCGTCAGCAATAACACAGAATACCAGATGGAAGAATGGATAAACAAACTGTGGTACATACACATAGTGGAATAGTATGCTACCTTGAAGAATAATAAGGAAGCCACAAGATGCTGCATGACATGGATGAACCTGGAGGACATTCTGCTGAGTGAAATTAGTCAGTCACAAAAGGAGAAATACTGCATAGAACCATTATTGTAAAAGACTAAGAAAAAGAACCTACCCTAAAAGGTGGGGGTGAAATCTTTGCTGGTTACTGGAATATGTGGGATGGGATGCGGGGAGGGAGGGGAAGGTGGAGCACAGGGTAGGGAATAGCCACAAGATAGCTTGGGTTCCAGGGGGGTGGGACGGTGGGCAATACACAAGAAAGGGGAGGGGAATGGAAGAACAAGGTGGATGGGAGAACAGTTAGGCAGGTTTGCATAGGCTAAGTGGGACAGAGGTAAATAACGATATATACACAACCTTGGAACAACAGGGTTCTGGGATACAGTAATTGAGGTATGGTTTGAATGGGTAAAAGAGGGGAAATAATGTTAAGATGCTTGGCTGTCTTTTGAATCTTGGTTTTCCTTGTATACCACTGTAAAATAGACACTTGAGGGGGAGAGAAAGAAATATCCAGAAACATCACCATGGAAAGCTTTTAAGTCCGTCTTCAGCCTATAACTGATTGGAATACCTAAAATGGGGCTAGAACTTTCCCAGTGAAAGAGGCTTCCTGTGGAGCCTTTGCATTGCATAAGACCTTAGGTGGAATCCTGAACCCCATCCAGAATCATCTGAGGTGGGAAATCTCCACTCAAACGGACAAGCAGACTGGCTTGGAGCAGCTAGAAGAACAGAAGATACCTCTTAAAAGAAAAACCAATAGGAAAAAGCAAAAACAATAACTGCAGTCCGACTGGCTACTATAAGAACAAGCAATTGTTCGCCCAGGAGCCCTCAAGGCAAGTGGTTGGGCCCCCTCAGGTCAAACCTTCTTCCAAGACTAAGACTCAAGGGGACTACACGAGCAGGCATGTGGTCTGACTGGTTGGGTCCCCTCAGGTCAAACCTTCTTCCAAGACTAAGACTCAAGGGGACTACACGAGCAGGCATGTGGTCTGACTGGTGACCACGTTGGTCACTGATAAGGGGAAATGGGGGAAAAAACAGCAATGAAGTTGTGAGCTAAGTCTGACCACATTCAATAGACTCCTGTGAACCCTGGGTGGAGACCTGGTTGGCCAGCATTATGGCAAGACTTGGGGATTCTTGGGCTCAGAGACAGTGACATGGCCACAGAGGTCTAGAGCAAAGAGTGAAGCATTCAGCTGATATGAATGGAGGGGACATGCACAAGAAAACCCATATTTGCAGATAGTACCAACTTGACCTGGCTTCAATGGATGGATGATCAGAACTCGACTAGATGAAGAAAGAAAAGGAAAAAGAGTAATCTGATAATATTTGATGAAGTTGGCCTGTACTTATGGATGTTGTAGCTCAAAAGAGGGAACCAATCTTTACAGTGAGGACCATTCCCACCCCCTCAGTACACAGGGTAGACTGAGATGGGCAACTTAGACACTAGCTACCCAAAATGGGGGCACCTACAAAGGCAAGAAGTGACTGGCTTACAAGCCTTCAAGAGGGAGCCTAGTTCGAGAAGTGTGGGGGAAGACAGACTTTCATTGAGTGGTTTCCAATTTGTATGGACGGGGCTGATGAATGAAGATGGGGATAAGACTCTTGTGGTACAATGGTGAATAATTGCTATCAGGACTGACTGTGAGGGTTGGATATTTAAGGTGGATGTTTTGTAGCAAAAGGAGGGGAGTGGTTGACTTGGCAGTCCAGAAGTGGAGGTCCCTGAGACCATCGAGGGAGAAGAACAGAGTGCGGCACCCTACCCAGAGAAGCAGTGATGACAGAGATGGAGGCAGAGATGATGACCTGGAGAGATGGAGCAGCTGGGGACTGTAGACACAGAGAGGGAGAGGGGCTGTGTGCTGATGACTGGGGGGCAGACTTGCGGGGTTTGATGATGCATGGAGGGGATTGTAATCATGGCAATGAAACAGTATACGATAGGATGAATGTAAAGTTAATGTTCTCCCATGTAAACGATCACATAATTCACCATAAAAAAAAAACTTTAAAAATAAATAAATAAAGCAAATAGAAGATACGAGGAAGTCAAAAAGGTAAACAGAAAATTTCAAAAGGCAGCTCGAGAAGACAAATTCAAGTATTATAATGAAATGTGCAAAGACCTGGAGTTAGAAAACCAAAAGAGAAAAACTTAGACTTTTTCAAGCTGAAGGAACTGAAGTAAATATTCAAACCTTGTATTGCAATATTTTATGATTCTATGGACAAAATGTTGAATGATGCAGAAAACATCAAAACATCAAAAGAAGATGGAGGATATGTAGAGAGTCACTGTACCCTCCCCCCAAAAAAGGTTGATATTCAACCAACCATTTCAAGTGGTAGCATATGATCAAGAACCAATGATATGGAAGGAAGACGGCTAAGCTATACTGAAGGTATTGGTGAAAAATGAACAGAAGACAAATTGAAATCTTTCAACAAATGGATGCACTGAATTTGCTCACTCATCTATGCCAAGAAATTTGTAATACAGCTGCCTGATCAGAAGAGATCCGTTTTTGTGCCCATTCCAAAGAGAGGTGACTCAATGGAATGCAGAAATCATGGGGCAGTATCATTAATATCACATACAAGTGAAATTTTACAGAAGATAATTTCAAAGTATCTGTAATGACAGAACATTGACAGAGAACTGCCAGAAATTCAAGACAGACTCACTAGAGGATGTGGAACTAGGGATGCTGTTGCTGATGTGAGCTGCATCTTGACTGAAAGCAGAGAATACCAGGAAGGTGTTTATTTGTGCTTTATTAATTATACAAAGATTTTGACTGTGTGGATTATAACAAGCTATGGATAACACTTTGAAGAATGGGTATTTCAGAGTACTTCCTTGTACTCAGGAGGAACGTGTACATAGACCAATAGGCAGTTGTTTGAGGAGAACAAGAGGACTCTAAATGGTTTAAAATCAAGAAAGGTATGTGCCATACGTATTCAATCTGTATGCTTCTTTCATCATACTTATTCAATCTGTATGCTGAGCAAATAATCTGAGAAGCTGGATTATATGAAGAAGAGTGAGGCATCAGGATTGGGGAAAAACTATCTGCAGTATGCAAATGATACAACCTTGCTTGCTGAAAGTGAAGAGGACTTAAAAATACTTACTTATGAAGATTAAAGACCACAACCTTTGGTATGGATTGTACCTCAATGTAAAGAAAACAATAATCCTCACAACTGGAACAATAAATTACATCATGCTACCTTTTAAAAAGATTGAAGTTGTTAAAGACTTCATTTTGCTTGGATCCACAATCAACATTCATTGAAGCAGTAGCCAGAAAATCAAATGATGTATTGCATTAGGCAAATCTGCGGTACAAGATCTCTTTAAAGTGTTCAAGAGCAAAGATATCTGTTTGAGGATTTAGGTGTGCCCGAATCAAGACATGGTGTTTTCAATAGCCACATATACTATTATGAAAGTTGGACAATAGTCACATATGCATATGTGAAAGTTGGACAATGTGTTAATAACGAACACCGTAAAAAATTATGCATTTGAGATATGATGTTG